CAGACCAACAGACAGAGGAGCTGAAACTAAAGCAGGTAGGAGGAGAAGGGTACTGCAGAGTGGGTGAAACTCCCCCTCACTCTGGGACCCCCAGGTTGTCCAGTGTGTGAGAGAGGGGCAAGGGAGGGACAGCACATATGGTGGCTGGAAAGTCAGCACTGTGGAGGCCATGGAGTAGCTGAATGGTGGATGGAGAGGGAAGGGTGGTGTAGTGGGCGGCATCCTCACCACCTCCCACCCCTTTACTTCCACCAGTCCTCCCTGCTCAGGTCTCACTCACATGGCCATGTCCCTGGCCTCGCCTGGGGTCAGGGCCTCCTCTGGCCCCACCAGCTTCACAGCTGAGAAGTGATCCTGGAGCTGGGGCCAGGAGTCTGCAATGTGGGGCTCATGGTAGACCTCCTGGAGATGGGAGGAAATGGGGGAGGGTGCTGAGAGTGCAGAAAAGATGGCACCTGAGAGGTGGGATGGAAGGGGTCAATGGGAGGAAAAAGGGAACATCTGTAATACTTTCAACAATAAAGATAAATTAAAAAAAATAAAAGATGGCACCTGAGGGATGGGATGGGAAAGGTAGTAAGGGAACAGGGTGTAGGAAGCAGTCTAGGGGTGGGGCGGACTTCTGATCAGGGCAGATCACTTGGAAGGGCCCACACAGAGAGGCTGTCAGGGTGTCTCACGTTGTTATGCAAGAAGAGGGTGATCCTGTCGGGGGGATAGTCCAGGAGCATCAGCCGTTGCAGGAAGCGGGGTAGGAACGGGGTAGGTTGTTCCACAAACACAGCCAGAAGCACCCGGGGGGGAGGCTGGAAATACATGACAGGGCTCAGAGGAAAGCCTGTCCTCTACAACCCAGCCAGGTTTGGGAGTTCCCAGGAGCTCTGCCCCCTACTACTGCCCAGCATGCTCTCCCTGTACCCCGTTTAGTGTGCTCTCCTGCCCTTCCCCGCCTCACCTGCCCCCCCGGGAGTGTCCTCCGGTCCTGGTCACAGAACCCACAGCCTCCCTCAGGAGTCCAGCCATTGGGGACATAGTTTCCCAGGTAATTCAGCTGGAGCTGTTGGGAGAGACAGGGAGAGAGGCTGAGGCAGAGGAGCCCAGGACCAGAGATGAGGGAGGTCAGGCAGACAAACAGGAACAAGGAAGGGAGCAGTGGACACTTAGAACCTCTCCTAGTACTTCTGCTACTGGGGCTGGGAAGGACCAACTGCTCAGAAGGGCTGGGGGTACCCAGAGGCTTGGACTAGGTCTGGGGCAGGGACAGAGGTTGTGGGGCCAAGCCTGGGACAGGGGTAAGGGGCTAGGGCTGGGGCTGGGGCCAGGTATGGGGCAGGAGCTGGCGCCAGGCCTGAGGCCAGGCCTGACTGGGGCTGAGGGTATGAGCCTTTGGGGTACCTTAGTGGGTCCATTCCCATGCACCACAACAGGAAGTGTGTCATAGGCCACGTTCCGTATACGCACATGATTCCGATCAAATTTTAAAACCACCTCATCTGGGGAAGAAAGACCAGAATTTAGACTTGCTTTCTCTTGAAGCTGCCAAGCAACAGGTGTTTCTAAATATGAGGGAATCTAGCTACTCTGATGCCACCCTGGGGATCTCCTCCAGTGTGACCTGGGCAAGTCACTAGCCCCTCAGAGGCAGTTTCCTCATGTGTAACACGTAGGTAACCACAGATCCCAGTCCTCCTATGTAGGATTATTGTGTTAATGAAATTACAGAAGTAAAGCCCCTGGCCAAAGGCCTTGGCACATAATATATTCCACAGATGTTAGGTATGACAGCCACTACTTTTACTACTGTTAGCACCATGCAACTTTATCAGCCATTCAGACATTTGATGAAGTTAACATGAAGGTGAGTTGAAGACAACTCCAGTTCCCCCAGAAGCCCCTCTCTAATTCAGGACCTCCAGCAGCCTCTCTCATCTCCCCTTCTGATTGCCTTTCTCCTCACCTAAAGCCCCGTTGAGGTTCTGAAAGATCCGGGACTTATGATCCAGATTAAGGCTGAGTTTCTCCTGGATGGGATAAGATGGAGCAGTTAATTCAAGAAGGGGTGGGACATCATTTTTCACTCTTTTCTCTTTACATCTTCCCCAAAGCCTCTTTATCCCTTTTCTCCCATTCAGCTAAGGCCTGCCATCCCCACAGAGTTGCGGGCGCTCACCCCTCCTCTTCCCCTCCCTACCCTCAGTCCTGGGTCCAGGTAGAGTCGAGTGTAGAAGAGCTGATCATCATCATCATCCTTGTACTTCCACTGGCGGACAATTTGGTGGATGGTGGGGGCAAATCCAATGAATCCTGTGCAGGGAGGGGAGGAGCTGACTCCAAGACTCCCTGGATCCCACGAGCCTGTCTCCACTCCCTCTCTGGCCCCCAGGCACCTGGAACACTCCATACCCCACCACTCTTGGCCCCTCTGCCTCAGGCACTCTGCCACTCACCACCAGAGTTGAGGAAGCGCTTCCCCGTGCCCACCTCAGGGTACTGCTCTGCCAGCCCCCACTCAGGCCAGCAGAAGCTCTCTGCAGAGAACAGCAGGCGGCTGCCACTCTGGACGAACTTCTTCAGCAGTTCTGAGGGGCTGCCAGCCAAAATCACATCATAGCTGGCAAGGAAGGGGAAAAGAAACAGGACAGCGGCTAGGAACCTTAGTATCCTCACCCTCTTCCTCTTGTTTGCCCCAGCCCTCTCTCCCCGCCCCCAGCCTCTTTACCTGTCCACAAACATGACGACCATATCCTCTCGGTCTGCATATTTCTCCATTTCCTTCTTTAGCCACCTGACCTTCTGTCCTCCACCAACTGTTCTGGCCACATCACCCCCTCGCCACTCCTCTCTCAGACCCAGGGTCTGTGGGGGAGATCATCCACGCCAGGGAGGGATTCAGCTGGCCAGGCTCACCGTGGGGCCCCAGGCATCCAGTCCTCAGCCCACCCCTCCGGCTGGAAAGCCCACCACCTCCTCCTAGCGGCCAGGAGGGCATTCCTCTCCTCACCCGCACTGTGTAGTTGAAGAACTCCGCGGATCTCAGGAAACGCCGGTATCCCTCCGTCTCGGCCGTGGCCACGGTGATCACCAGCAACTTCTCTGTTACCAGTCGGGAATTAGCACTCCGGACCCACTCATCCAGCTCACTGCCCCACGTGCTCCACTCACCTCGGGCCCCCTTCCCCTCCTTCAAACTCTGCTGACGTCCCTTACTTTTTGTTTCCCCATTCCCTCTTAAAATCTTCCCCCAAAGAAACTTCGACCCCAGTGAGAGCGGTATGGGAGTGACACCCAGGAATTCGGGGTCAGCTAGCATGGGGAAGCTGGAAACCTTAGTTCAGGGTGGAGAGTGAGCGGTACCGTCGCAAGGAGCACGCTGGTGCGAGGGAGAGACCCCCACCCCCACCC